TAATAGATAGTGGAAAGTTCCAGGCTAAGAGAATATATATGAGAGAAGCGGATATTTAAAGAACTAAGTATTAAACTGGATATAGGTGAAGGCACTGCAAAGAGAAAAGGAGAGGACTCAGGGCCAGCAGGTGGCATGGTGGTTAAGGCATTGGACTCCCACATGGCTGACCATACTTTGAGTCTCACACCTGGTGGCTTGGTTTCTCACTTATCATTTCTCTCTCTGGTCAAATTAAAAAGTCATAATAACAAATAAAAATAAATAATTCCTTAACATAAAAAAGAAGAGGACTCCTAGATTTATACACATGAGCAACTAAGTGGTAGTAGATGATGGCCATTAACTGAAATAGAAAAGTCAGAACTCAAAGAGAAGGCAAATTTGTGAAAAAGGGCTGGAGAAACCAAATCTGTGAAATCCTCTATTTATCACTTTTGTACATGGGTCTTTATATTTGATGTTCAAGCTGTACAGGTACCATATGCAATATGCTGCTTTTATAAAGAAGCAGTTTGTTTTCCCTGAACCATTATCTGGAAACAAAACTTCTCTCCAGCATTGTTTAGAGAAGAATAGAATAAAAAATGTGTCCCCCCCCTTTTTTAAATTAAATTCTTTCAGGCAAGCAAGCAAGCAAGCAAGCAGGCAGGCAGGCAGGCAGGCAGGCAGGCTGGAGAATTATTTCCTGGTGAGTTAAAGCAGGGTCATGGGCCAGCAGGTAGCATGGAGGTTAAGGCTCTGGATTCCACATGGCCAGCTTCATGGTTCAAATCTTGGATCCAGTGGCTTGAGAATCAGGCTGGGCACATACGGTAGAAGAAATGACATGAGAGAGAACATAAGCAGGAGAAGATAAAGACATACAGGGAGGAAAAGACATTTTCAATACTACCTTAAACCCTCTTAGAGTCTGACAGCACCAATATTCTCAAAATGTCTCTATTCCAATTATCAGCAGGGAAGCTGCATGGTCTAGTGCCGAGATCCTGGGTTCTATATTGACAGCCCTAAATTTACAGCCTAGCTTCACTCTTTACTACAGACGTGACTTTGGAGTTAATCTGAAGCCTCTTCAGCCCTGTATTTTCTTATCTTTAAAATAGAGATGAGAGAATTGGAGCCAGCAGGCAGTGAAGTGGGTACGGCACTGGACATTGGACTCCTACACAGTTAGACTATGGTTTGAGCCCTAGGCCTGGTGGTTTGAAAATCATGCCAGGTGCATGTGTGTGCATGCCCAAAATCCCCAGGGGAGAATGGAGGAGAAGGGATTGCGGCCTGTGCATTCCCCACTGGGGAGGGGGGTGACTTCTCTCTTTTCCTCTGTCTGCCTCTCTCTCTCTCTGACTAGTGGATGTGCCTTATGGCAAAAACCTAAAATAAAAATAAATAAAATAAAATGCAGATTAGAATCTCTATCTTACCTGTGAGAACTGAATGTGTTTTTCAAACACTTAGCACGTGCTCAGTAAATGCCAGTGCTCTTCCATTAAGGAAAAAAAATTATGCTCTGCAACACGCACTCATCTCTCATCTCTTATTGCCTAAATAATGTATTTATTTTCATAGCTAATATCTCCATCTTGTGGCCTTTCAAGGTACTTGACAAAAGAGTTTTAAGATTATGTTGTATTTCTATACCTACATATATTACTGTTATACCATGGAACATTCCCCTAGGGGGTCTTATAAAACTTCTCTTGGTAAGACTAAGGCAAGAATTAGGAAATTCTTGCCTTGACAGAGAATGTCTAAAATTCAACAGAGTGACATTTTAAAAAATAATTTTATTTTAAATAATTATTTTATTAATTATTACTATTTTAATTTGCTATAGGACACTGCACTCATCAGAGAAGTAGAGAAAGAAAAAGAGAGAGAGAGAAAGCAATTCACCAGGTCTAGAACTTGAACTGTGGTTGGTCATGTGGAAGTCCAGTACCTTAAACCATGTACCTGCTGGCTCTGGCCAGAGTGACATTTATTATGCTATTATTTAGTTAATTGATTGACTGGTTTTCTTTTTAAACTTTATTATTTTAAAATTTTCTATAGGGAGTGTATGCTCACCAGAAATGAGGTGGGGTCGGGGTGGGATTAAGAAAGCACTCCCGGGAACCAGCAGTTAGCGTAATGGCTATGTCGCTGGACTCCCACGTAGTCGACCGCGGTTCGTGTCCCGGACCCGGTGGCTTAAAACTCACGCCGGGTGCGTGTGCGTGCGTGCCCAAGCTCCCGAGAGGAGAATGGAGAAGAAGAGATTGCAGCGTGACCATCCCCCCTGGGGGGTGATTTCTCGCTTTCTGTCTCTATGTCTCTCTTGGGGGGCGCACGCGCCCTAAAGTGAAAAGCTCTCAAAAAAAAAAAAAAAAAAAAGAAAGCACTCCCCAGGGGGGATGGCTATGCTTCAATCTCTTCTCCATTCTCTTCTTGAGATTTTGAGCACACATGCATACACACCTGGCATGTTTCTTAAGCTGCTGGGCCTGGAACTCAAACCACCCAGCAGGCCACCTGGAATCTAGCCACCTTAAGCACCATACCACTGGCTGGCCCACTATTGTTTAATTTGAAAATAAAGGAAACAGTCTAAAGAGAACTGTAAATTTGGGCTAGCTCTGTAGAACAATGGTTAAGGGCTGTGTGTAGAGAGCTGGATCCCACAGAGCTGACTACAGTTCAAGTCTTGATGACAGCAGGGTGAAAACATGCTGGGTGTGTGTGTGTAGATTCCCAAAATTTGAAGCATGACCTTGTTCTACTGGGTGATGTCTTTTCTTTCTCCTCCCGTCCCTCTCTCCCTCTCTTCTGTCCTCCCTCTCCAAATATATATACCCTGTGGCAATTAAAAAATAAATAAAAAAGAACCATGCATTTTATATAGTCATATGAATATTTAAAATCTTTCCCTCAAAAAATCTTGCCTAAAATGTATTACTGGGTATTTTTGGTGAGATACAATCTGTTACCAACATTAATAACTAGTGAACAAATTCAAACAAAGCCACAATGGTTACTCATCTATGTAGTCAACAAATACCCTGTATTGAAACGTCATAAAGTGGTGATAACATATCTTCACTAAAGAAACTGACCAGTACTAGCAACTTCAGGTACTAAACTAAAGCTAGACATTTTCCCTTGGGAAAAGCTGTGTGGCAATGTGTGCTCTGCCATTTTGGGCACACTGGTTAGACCATACCCTGGATAGATAAGCAATCTTCAGGTAGGGCCACCTGAGTTTAATTTGTGTATTTGATGACTAAATCTGGCAAGACTTCAGCTCTAAAGTAAAGATCATTATACTTACTCAACAACCCCTTATTCTAAAATTTTGTGACGGCTAATGTTAATGTTAGTTTAATATGCACATAGCTACTCATGTAGGTGTGTCTGGTACTTACTAACATAGATATGCCTATTATGGACAACTGGCAGTGGTTTTAGGGTTCAGCTGGAAAATCATACTCAAAAGACCCAATAGGCTATATTTTGTAGGCTCATTCTGCAGAAACAGTAAAGGCATACTGACATGACAAAAAACAGGTGTGTCCTCAGGAGAGTCCCTTTCCCTTGTGACAGGCTGGGTGAAAGAGAACAAGATGAGGTGGATGGATGCAGAGGTCGCTCTGGCTCAGTGGAAGGGAATGGCTCAGCCACAGGTGCCAGTATGACAGCCTGGGCCATTAGGTTTGGCTTCCACAGTTCAGAGCCTGGGTCAGACTAGGGCCTTACATGAAGTGATTCACTGCCCTGTCCTTGCCTTCTCCCTTCCTTCAGAACCCGTATCTTTCCAACATTACATACATTCACTACAACATATAAGCCAACATTTGCCACCAAATTATAGATACAGCAAAGGTTTAAGTCAACATTAGTCATAAAGCTTAGAACAATACATGGATTAGGATAGGTAACAGACATGAAAAATTCTGGAAGTAGATGAAAAGGCTGCCATTCATAGAAAATTCAGTCCATTAATATGGTTGGGCTAGGGCCAGCAGATGGCATACTGGTTACATTGCTAGACTCCTACGTGGCCAAATGCAGTTCAAGTCTCGCAACCAGTGGCTTGAAACTCACACTGGTGCATGTGTGTGCATGCCCAAGATCTCGGGAGGAGACTGGAAAAGGGATTGCAGTGTGGCCATCCCCCCAGGGGGTGATTTCTCACTTTCACTCTCACTGTCTCTGTCTGCCTCTCTCTCTGGAGAGCGCACATGTCCTAAGTCAAAAACCTATTAAAAATAATTGGGCTGGTCCTATGGCACAACAATTAAGTGTTGTGCATGACCACCTGCAGTTTGAATCCTAGCCCCAGCGGCTTGAGAGACATCCCAGGAGTATATACGTATCCCCAAAATCTTGAGGGGAAGGAGAAATGGAAGAAAGGGACTGCAATGTGATCATGCCCCACCGAGGGGTACTCTGTCTCTGCCAAGTGTATATGCCTTGCAATAATTAGAAAAAAATGTTTTAAAAAATCTTAACTTTTATTATTCTGAAAATGAAAATCGAGCTACAGATTTAAAATAAAAATATAACTTCAAATTATGCTAATAAATGGATTTGACATAAGGTATTCAAGTTAAGAGAAACCAACAACCCAGGATTTCTTTAGCTATAGTTCAGATGTAGCTTTGACAAATCTAAAATAAAAAATAAGTTCGTATAACCCAGTAGTCATATTTAGTCTACAACAGGGGTTAACACATTTCTTCTATAAAGGACCAGACAGATGGCAGATATTTCAGATTTTATGGGCCATCAAATCTCTCTGTTATGATTCTGTTACAGTCCTCTGACCAACTCTGCCATTATAGCTAAAAAGCAGCTGGAGAGAATGTGAGAACAAATGGGCGTGGCTATGTACCTAAAACCTTCATTTACAAAACCAGACTGCAGCCAGATTTGGCTCACGGGCTTTAGTTAGCCAGTCCTTAGTTCACATGGAAATATGATAACCATTTTAACAAATGAGTATCTCAGGAACTTACTGTTTAATTTTATCATTTCTAGGGCCAAATCTTGGCCCAGATGGTCCCCGTCTGAAAACAAGACACCAAGTACATGTTAGTAATGACAGCATTAGAAAAACAAACAAAAACAGAAAACACACACATATGTGCAATGAAGCTAAATTTAAACATGGATCAGTCATTTCCATGAGGAACCAGTATTAGCAAACTGAATGATATCTCATCATATCTTCAGTTACTTACTGTTGGTCAAAATTAACCTAATTTTTCTGAATGTTAAAGCTTGCAGAGAAATTAAGGTTTATATGCTTAATTATATAGTTTGTTCAAATCACTAAATTCTAAAATAAATTCTGAGATAAACTACCCATAAATATAAATACTTTTGTAATGATCTTTTTGTATGATCTTTGTATGATCAAACCAGCAGTTGGCATAATGGCTATGTCGCTGGACTCCCATGTAGTCGACCACGGTTTGAGTCCCAGACCCGGTGGCTTAAACTCATGCCAGGCCTATGTGCATGCATACCCAAGATCCCGAGAAGAGAATGGAGGAGAAGGGATTGTGGTGTGGCCATCCCCCTGAGGAGGGTGATTTCTCACTTTCTGTTTCTCTGTCTTTCTGGTAAGCGCATGTGCCCTATAGCAAAAAAAACTCTCAAAAAATATTTTTTTTAAATATATAGAATTAAAAGAGCAGGGATCAACAGATGGCATAATGGTTACATCGCTGGACTCCCACATAGTCAACTGCAGTTCGAGTCCCGAACTTGGCAGTTTAAAACTCACACCAGGCATATGTATGTGCTTGCATGCCCAAAATCCCGAGAGGAGAATGGACTATACTGCGGCCATCCCCCCTCCCGGGGGGAGGTTGTGATTTCTCACTTTCTGTCTCTGTCTAGTACACACACACTAAAGCAAAAATCTCTTTAAAAAAAAAAAAAAAGGTAATTCACCTTGAACTTAGGCTATGAAAAAAATGCTAATAGACAGGCATAGAGAAAAATTTACTCAAAATTTTAAAAATATTTAAGTATATATATATATATTTTTTTTTTTTGAGAGGTTTTTGCTATAGGGTGCATGCGCTCGCCAGACAGACAGAGACAGAGAGACAGAAAGTGAAAAATCACCCCCCAGGGGGGATGGCCACGCCACATTCCCTTCTCCTCCATTCTCCTCAAAGAAGATTTCATAAGTGTATGTTATACATATCAAAACTTGTATACTTTAAATATATGCATTTTATTGTATGGCAACTACCCCAATAAAGCTGTAAAAAATTAAAAATAAAAACTTACAGAAAAAAGTCCTCTTCTTCATCTGAATCATCTTCTAAAAGATTTCTCTGCCAAATAAAGAAAGACACTTGAGTTTTCAGATTCAGAGAGATTACAAATACCAGGGAGGAATAGTAAAGCAGTATACTGGTGGAATTTTTTAACTCAAAACTTCAAGACAAAGGGGAAAGTAATTACTTATCCGTTTTTTAAAGAGGTTTTTGTTACAGGGCGTGTGTGCTCGCCAAAGAGACAGAAAGCGAGAAATCACCCCCTAGAGGGGATGACCATGCCATAATCCCTTCTCCTCCATTCTCCTCCTGGGATCTTGGGCAAGCACGCACATGCGCCTGGCATGAGTTTAAGTCCAGGACTCGAACCAGGGTTGACTACATGGGAGTTCAGCGACATAGCCATTACACTAACTGCTGGTCCCAGTAATTACTTATCTTTAACTGGAAGCTAAAACATGTGGAACAACATCTACAGACACTCCAACGAAAATGCTTATAATTCCAGGATCTTATAACGGAATAAGAGGGAGTCCACTAAGGCTAATATAGGAGAAAGTGCAGGCCGCCATGAGGGGCCAAGTCCCTTCTTCTTGCTGTCTTCTGGTCTCTATTGGCAGAACTTAATAGGGATCCAGGCAGCAAAGAAGAAATCATTTGTGGAGTCCAACTGCAACACCAGAGAAGAATACAGGAGGGCAGGCTTGGAGCTGAAGACAGGGCTTAATAATTGGCATGGTCCACTTTCTAGCTATTCAGCCCACAAATACCTTCTACACATATTGGAACTTCAAACAAATACAACTTTGTATTTTATTTTATAAGATACAAAAAATCTTTCCTAAAACAAAGGTGGTCCCGCCTTCTTCCCAAAAGAGGAAGATACAAAGTTTAAAAAAGAAGTTAAAAAAGAGCAAAACTCAGAACTTTTCAGACACTCAAGAACTCAAAATAGTATACCATTTGCTGCAGGCAGAATAATGGCTTCCAGAATATATCACTGTCCTAATCACTGAAACCTGTGGATGTGTCACTTTGCACAGAAAAAGGAACTTTGTAGATGTAATTAAGATCATTATGGATTATCTATGTGGGCCCAATGGAATCACAAGGGTTCTTGTAAGAGAAGCAGGAGTGTCAGAAAAAGACCTCTCCAAAAAAAAAAAAAAAAAAAAAAAGGGAACCGGCAGTTAGGGAAAAGGGAATGTTG